AGATAGAGAGAGATAGAGAGAGATAGAGAGAGAGGGATAGGGAGAGATAGAGAGAGATAGAGATAGAGAGAGAGATAGAGAGAGATAGATAGAGAGAGAGAGTGAGTGAGTGAGTGAGTGTGTGTGAGAGAGAGATAGAGATAGAGAGAGATAGAGATAGAGAGAGAGAGAGACAGAGGGGTTAACCTAATGAAAATTAGGAAGGACGTTACGATATCCAGTGGGAGCGGCGGAGATGACGGAAACCCCGGCTTCAGATTAAATTTACATTTAAAAAATACACTCAATTACATTTTTAATATGATTATTCCACTTTCAATATGATTTTACGGCTTTTAATACTCTAAAAATATTTTTCAACCGTGCGTCCTTGAGAGCTGTCGCGCCTGTTTGTATTAGTGGCAACTATATGAATACGTTTTACCAGGGGCCCTTGAGCATCGTAGCCGATTTCAACCAATGAGCTTCAGGCACCAGTTTGCATTACAATATTAATGGGAATTATAAATTGAGCCAGATGCTAAACTTATCACCTTATTGAAACAGTTATATGAAGCACTTCTTTTAAATATTGCAAATTTTACACCTTTATCCTGTTATTTTTGTTTGGTTGCCGTTGAAAATTGTCTCTTTGTGCCAATTTTAAATTGTTTCTGAACACTTCTCGCTCTCCATTCAACATGACGGCCAATGTCTGGCTATTATAATTATGGAGCTAGGAATACAGGGAGATGGCAAAACATTACAAACTTGAATCCACTTGAAGCCATATTGCTGTGCCCAAAATGCTTGTAGGCGTCCACGTGTTGAGGTGCGTTATTTACGGTGGCATAACTACCGCTGGCCCATAAGATCCAGTTACCTGAGTACCCCGGACACAAGGGACCCCAAAAGCAATTTTTGTTTTTGTGTAAATAAAAAAAAACTTACAGGCTCCTTCTGAAATCCATTTGTTTATCACTGTAAATCGACTAGTTTAAAGTTTTCATCACGTATTTTATGATAAGGACGCGAAAATGTGTTCCAAATTTGTTATTTGACATCCCGGGGCACCAATTATTTATTGCTGCGGCGGCGGGCGTAATGTTTCAATGATGGTACGGAAGTGAGGGGGGGATGTTTGCTCGATAAGCAAGTTTTTAAATCGTAATTAATATTTAAATGTTTATGATTCAATTAAAACCTGAAATGTATTAATTTTAAATTGTAAATCCTCGTGAGTTTCAGTGTCTTTTCCACAATATTCTATCTGCAAAATCCTTTCTCATGATTGCGGACTGTCAATTATAAGAAAATGTTTTCATCTCGCGGGTTTCTCTGCGTAATATTTCAGTGGATTGAAATGTTTAACATATACATAATAACGAACCTTTTAACACACAAAACACTTCGCTATTGTTACGGTACATACAAAAGGAAACATTTCTTCCCAAATCGAAAGAAAGTGAAAGGTCACAAATGAGCTCTCATTGTTGTCTGAAACACAGGCAATGGCCCACTGCTAAGGCTGTCGATGCTTCTCCGAGCGCCGTATCGCAGGTGGGAGCGCCGCTTTGACGCCATTTCTCCACCAGTTGGCAAACACTGGACACATTTTACGAGAAGCCCGTGGAACATTTTCAAAACAAGTCCACATATTTTATAAAATTTAGATGTCAGATAGCGTAAAAACGATTAAGAGAATGATGACGTTCTCATTCACATTAAAATCCCTGATTTTTCGAAAATTGCAAAACATTTTTTGGCGTCTTCCTACAACTACAATTGTAAAGATCAATTTTCTATTTTTATTTAAATGTGTACATCAAAAACAGATCTTGAAATTACAACACGTTCAGTTTGTCGAAAATATAAGTATTTTTTGCGTTAAACACAGACAATTTTTAAATTTTAAACGATTTTTGCGCGTATGTATCAAAGAACGGTTAGGAAAGAGGTACTAGTTCTATTTATAGCACACTCTCTGAATTGTCGAAACAATACTCAAAATGGTACATCAAATTTCCCGCGCTTCGTTCGACACGTAGCCAGTTCGCAAAATAGCAATGGAGCTCTTTTAAATAATATTAAAAGGCTTCTCATTAAAGCCCGGAAGTTTCTGAAAAATCATATTTTCTAGTAGGTGTTCTATAATATGCTAATATTATGCTAGTATGCCTATAATATGCTAATTACCAGATATTCAGAAGTCAGGGAAGCTTTCCTGTGCTACGTCGGGTAAAAAATTTACTTGCCTTCGACGACGCTTCAAACCCGAATCAATCACACAGCGATCTTGCAATCATATCCAGATTTAGTTGAAGATCAATATTGAGAACCTGATGGATAAATTCATTTCTAAAATTTCCAAACGAGTGTCAGTTTTCATAGCGACATTTCAAGCGTTGATCGATTCCAACTAAAAAATGTTGAATAAACTATATATTTTATACTGTTATATTTTTCTTTAAGAAAACTTAAATACAATAATAAACTCCATGACCCCCTCCCATGTTACTACTCACTTGAAATTTATACGTTTCGTCGGCTCTGGACTCCCTATTTGGGGGAATTCTAGTGTCCAGCTGCTCTAATAGGTACTTTATCGCGGATTTTTTCCGAACTGATGAATGAATAGGCTTTCCAAACTGGCGAATAACAGTTGAATGTCGAAGAAGAATTCTAACGGGGCTTGTCCGTCCGTTCTTGTCGTTTACATACATTACACTACTTGGCACATGGATACAAAATTTCCTGTCTGGAGAGACCTGAAAAGAATTGAAAGTCGATTCGTAGGTCACGCGGAATATCACGTTCCAGGGGGTAGAAGACACTGACGCTACCATGACATGCACTGAACGTACAAGACTAATGACTATTGTAGTTGATGTGCACAGAATAAATCATCCATACTCTCAAATATTTAATTTTTATTTATATTCACTCGTGATGTACCTAGCGAGATGGGGTTGATTAGGACTCACGTTGGTTGGTTGTTAGTTTCCGGGCGCGTTTTTTCGTCGGGAGGCGGCGGTGCTCTCCCTCCGCTGGAGGGCGAGATGAGTGCCGACCAACAGTCGGGTGGCGAGGCTTTTCCCAACCAGCGGGGCTCCTCCCCAGGCCGGGCAACCTCCAAGCTCCCGACCGGTCTCCCGGCATGTGTTGTAGAGTAGTGCATGCGTAAGCACGCATGAGGAAGTAAGGACAAACAATTTATTCCGTATTTTATGAGCGGAAACCTACGATATGCTGGTTCAAAAACGTCTAAACCAATGTCCGTCTAACCCTCTCTTCTTATTAATAGTACTATCATTCTTTGGTTTGAAAATAATATTTCAATTAAATATTTAGTTTTGTATTTAAACCAAAGACTTAGACAATGACTTGGAAATCACACACTCAATATTTCTTCGGGAAATATTAATTGCACAGTGGTTCATGTCAAATAAGCAAATACACAAAGAACCTCTAATCGATTCTTTTCAATCCTTTATTTTTCATATCATAAAAAATTCATAACAACTTACCTACATCTGCTTATTAACATTTTACTTTAGAACCCAGTTATTATTCTACGATCGTTTAAAAATGTGGGATTCTACGTGTTGCTACTCGTGCGTGAAGTAAGCATCTATTAAAACATCTGAAAAGCGTGCATAAAATATTTTTCTTTCACAATGACGTGACTGTGTAAAATATACTTTTACGCACGGTAGGTAGCTTACAAGAGAAGTCAAAAATTCAAGCATACATTAATGGCAAAACAACTTTAATTACACTCTTAAATTAATGCAACAATTAAACTCTTCTCAATAACAGTTAAATTATAATGAATTATTATCTCATAATTAGTACGTAACTATTAACACAGTATATTATGAAACTCGTAGCAACTCTCTTAGATGTACACCAATTTCCCAACTGTTAGTAAGTTTTTTTTCTGTAAATATCTTGAGAAGGTTGGATTATATATTAAATACTGCAGAGTTTGCAGATTCGAACAACTCTTGGGGGTTGACAGCATTGCTATTAATCAGTAATTAGAACCTTGATGGACCAGTTATACAATAGGAACTCGTATGAATTATTCTTCCCAACCTAAAGATGCGAAACCAGTGTCTATTGTTATGCAACCTTAACGAAGGAGGGGGTTCCTTTCCAACCAATCATGAGTAGTAGAGATAAAACAAATAATTATTCGTAATAGAAGCATTTTTATACGATCGTACAAAATATGGTGTTTATATTACGCGAGTGAAGTTTTTGTTTTTTGCTCCATCTCGATTGATGTTTTTTTCCTAGACATATCGACCCCGAAAAATTCCATTCTCGATCGTGCAAGAAACAATAACTTCACGAACATAATATAAAAAGTAACTATTTCCATTTACCCCGAATCCCCGAAATCCGTTCTTGTCTCTCTAAGAACATTTTTCATTATTTCTATTTTAAATAATTATTTTCCTCTATTTTTAATTCACTTTTCTTTATATTGTCCCCTATTTATTCAAATAGAGTTAAATTAAGTATTTTTTATATAAACAAATTGATAATATTATTTACCTGTAGATGAAATGCTGACATATTGCCTGTACAATTATTATTGAAGATCGTAGTTCACGGGATTTGATCGGAGTGAGTAGATACAAGTAAACCATTATTTTGCCGACGTTTCGAAATATTTTTATTTCATACTCATGGCTAGAGTAAGCACAAGAAGGCATGAAGACAAGATCAATATGAATGTACAATACACTAATTAATAACATGATGTGAAAAAATGATACAATATGTGCCACCTTACTAACATCTTATATTTGTTTGTATCTTACACATTATCACTTTTGCAAAGCATATTATTAATTTGTATGTTGTAGATTCATATTAATGTTGTGTTAATGTCTTGTTACTTTTACACTAGCCCTTAGGATGGAATAAAAATCCCAAAACGTCGGCATATTAATGGTTTAAATGTTTCTACTCACTCCGACAAAATCCCGTGAACTACATTCCTCATTACATAATGATCGTAAATTAGACAATGGTTATACAATTATTGTCAATAAAATTTAAGTCCCTTAAAAATTGTACGATTAAACAAGTAGGAAATAAATATTTTAAAAACGTTTTTTTAAAAATAATGATAAATTACAACCATATCTACAGAAAATTTGAAATGGATGCTTCAAAACGCATTCTATTTGTCCTTTAATATGCAATTGAGTCCGTTGGCCCTTATTTATCCTCAGAAGGTCCCAATTGCATTCACAGTTTTCATTTGAAATCTCTTTAAATACGAGTAATTAGGTCGCAGAATATTTCTACCAAGAAATTCATTTTCTTATAATATTCCGACAACATTTTAACTAAAATTGATCTTAGTTAGGACAAGAGTCACAATATTTTTTTAATACCAAGTTGAGTAATCACTTGAGTTAGTTCACTTGGTTTATCACTTAATTTACCACTTGATCACTCGACTTATCACCTGTATTGTGTGTACCTTTCAGTGATATATCTCTCAATTTGTTCAAAAGCATCCCACATATCATCCGCAAGAATTTGTGGTTCTTCAAATGCTGGAAAGTGTCCTCCTCTTGGCAAATGGGTAAATTGTACCAAATTAGGAAACTTGTCTCGAGCCAGCATTTCAGGAACATAGACAAGCTCCTTCGGAAAGTTAGATACTGCGGTTGGCACAACACAGGGGAATCTAAAATAAACCAGAAATATGTCTAATGATATTAAAATAATATTAAACTTGATAATTTTATAATTATGATACATAATATATTTTATGAATTGAAGATGTCAAATCATATTTTTCGTTACTTGAATCAAATATTTTTGTAAGATACGAACAAGCACCGCTACATGAAAATAAGATATGGTAATTTCTAACTGAACGATATGCAATAGTAAGGAATTCTAATCGAATAGTTATCTGCAAAGACGGATTTTTCGAACGGTGTTATGTCCAAAAACAGTTGCTTGCCCGGAATTTGCTTGAAGGAATCAATGGTATTAAGGGCAGACTGGTTACTTTCTCATATACGGAGTACGGAGAAAGTATTGTACTGCAAAAAAATCATTCTCGAAATTTTTATGGAAATACAAGATTTAGAGACCCTGGTACCGAAAGAGTGTTGTTTCAAAACAATTGTTCATCTGTTCTCGTGTGGACAACACTGGCACCAAACGTTCACAGATCATCCAAAATGGATATTCTGTGATCGATTTGGCACCTGAGAATATACTCGTACAACGCATCTTTTAATTTAGGAGGTACTTTACACGAGTTTTATAGGATATTTTCAAAATTTTCCGAAAATTATGTCCAACGTTTTTCTTTCTCGCTCTTACGAATGTTAAAAAGTATTGTAATCAAGCGTCCTAAAACGGCAAATTTTCAACAGAAAAAACTCTTATTGTCGGGCCCTGGTAACGAAAAAGGGGATAAACACTGTTTATATATATATATATATATATATATATATATATATATATATATATAAACATGTATATATACATATAAATATGTATATATATATACACATATACATATACATATACATACACATACACACACACACATACAGCCGAGTTACATTATGAAATATTAATTGGAAAAGCTTCATCGTGCTTCTGCTAGAATGAATGAAGTGGCAAGAAGTTTATTTAGTCAAAAAACTGTGTGACGTATGAGGGAGAAGATTATTTGCGCACATTTTCTTGAATTCCAGAATCCCTTCCCGACATTTTAACTATAAATAGTTGACAAATTAGTAAAAGTTTAAAATAAATAAATAAAAATAAATTTTAAAAAATCGCGAGATTAGAAATATTTAAAAAAACTAGACATGTTTGTTTGTAGCTATAGAAAACTTATTTGCATAAGTAAACGAATTGCATTGCTTAAGAATTGCATTGAAACGTTTCTGCATTACGAACAAAATAGTTGGAGTATGTTTATTTGTATTCTTTCTTTTTGTCATGCAAAAAGTTACAGTTTACATGTCATTTCTTTACGAAAAGTGAAAAAGAATATAATTTCGCACTGTGCGGAATGTATTACTCCTTTATTTTTCTGTGGTATTACTGTTGTGTGTCAATGTGACATATATTAGAAAGACTTTTAATAGTTTTACTGAAAAGTTTCAATAGAAACCCAATCCAATTAGCATAGTTTGCATGGCAATTTATGTAACTTAAAAAAAAGAATACATCCAACTATTTTTTATCGAATCATCTCGACTTTAGATTTCTGTAATATACATTACAAGACTACACGCTTCTGTTCAGGATAGTTAAATTTATTCAGTTACACCTAGTTAAAACGTGACGTTTCTCTTACTCGTCGCGAAGTCGAGTAACGTTACAGGAGTACTCGAGTCATGACCTTCTCCCATAAGTACATAGCAACTCAGAGGTAGATCGGTGACAATAGTAAATTACTCCCTCTAACACTTGGTGTAGCAATAATCCATGTTTTATGGGTCCTTGATATCGAAAAATCGATTAACGGCAAAACGTCTCCTCTGTTAGTATGTGATTAACGCTAGCATTTAAACCATTCAGCAAATTATATCCAAGTTGATAATCCTTGATGGATCTGAACGAACTCAAGGCTTTGGAAGTTTCGAACGGATATTTAGATTTTCACATTTTCAACAATTGTAAACGATTGTGTCGCGAGTTATTTACTCAACATAAATTGTAATAACTACTGTGTTACTCCTTTTTTGTTAAGTGTCCAGCAACAAAAAGTAGATTCTTCTGACTGTAGGGGAATCTTTTTATTCTCAAATGCCCGTTACAGAGAAGATATCTTACGCAACAGCAACGACTACTGATGTTTTTTCCGAAGAAAGAACAAGCTATCGTAATAGAAGCGAAAGACGGCTCCTTGATTGAGAAATCAAGGAGTAATCCACCGCTCTAGCAGGTGCGAATTTTGTATAATGTAAGACTCGTATCCAGAATCTCCAACAATATAATCTGTATATTATTGTCGTAAAAAATGGTACTGCTACCTACAAAACAATTACAATTAAAAATCAACAGCTACTTTTAGGTCATTAATAAATCGACATACTAGAGTACTTATCTATAATGTTTGTTCTATTATCCCTCATCATGTTATCTTACAAGAACTTGAAAAATAGAATGTCAGAATGACTACAAATGTATCTTTTCCCAAAACCGGATTATCTGAGCCAGATTTTCAACATATATTGATCTTTCGTTTTCAAGTTTCAGCCAATAACTTACCTGAGACTCTACTAATTTACTACGAAGACACCACCTACAGAATTTTCATTTCTGCAAATAACATGGTCTGTCTTGTGTGCAAACAGGAAGGTCATCTTGCTAGGGAAAGCCCCTCAGCCCCACCAACAAAGAACCTGCAGTAAGTATTAACGTTGAACATAATGCCGAAAACAGAGGAAATGGACAAATCTATTCAACCAGTAAATCCAACTGACAACGAAGGTAACAAGAAGGTCCTCAGTCAACTTGAAACACTAGCTCCCATACCTACATCCAGAGATGGAAATACTTACTTTCCAAGATTAAACAAGAGAAGTTTTCCATCTGAATCATCCCAGCAAGAATCATTACATAATATTGTACACTCTTTCTTCTTCTT